ATGTTATTCTGTTTTAATTGTTTATAATTTTCTGTTTGGGTGATTTAGTAATGGCCTGTTGAATTATTTTATCAGAATTTTATCTGTTAGAATTAGGAATTGTGATCCGTAATTGTCCTTTTTCTATTCAATGGGTAACACATGATGATAAATGATTATGGGCAAGTTTTCATTCTGTCATCTTGAATAACATAACCTAAGTTAAATAATCCGAGCTTGTGTGATTGTTGCTTAGATTGATCTATTTTCCTAATTCTTAAGGCTGCCATTGAATTAAACTTAGAGAGCTTATTCTAGGCTGTTCGAGGGTTAGGATCTACTTGAAGAGCTTATTTCAGTAGTGACGATTAAGGGAGAATTCGGGTAACAGAGCTTGTTGTTTCCTAGGGTCAGTAGTTCCATAATAACAAGATAGAATAGTGTTACGGTTTGTTCGTGTCCAATGCATGTTTAGTAGGTGGATCTTGAACCGAGAACTGATTGTTTGTAATATGATTTTTTCTTCCATTAGATATTTCTTTGTTTTACTTTAGTTTTGCCTTGATTACAAACCCCTTTCATTACTCTGTTGTGTTGTCATATTCACTGTTTAGGGTTTTATTGTGTTGTTTTCATTGTGGCTATTGGCATAGAATATAGGATTTAATCGAATCATTCCCTATGGGACCGACCCTTGCTCACCCTATATACAATTTAGTAGTTAGGTTAGTAAGGTTAATTAATTTGGTGCATTCGGCACGCTACCAATTGCTTAACGGTTTGAATACATCAGAGTGAACTAGTTCCAATGGTTCTTTTGCTTTAAACTTTGATTCCTCGTATGGCAATTGGTGTGCTTTACCATACTGACATCCTGCACAGACCATGTCTGTTCACACATCAAGTTAAGGAAGCCCCTTCAGCATTGACTTCCTCATCATAACGCTTAGCTTAGAATAGCTAACATGTCCCAACTGCATATGCCACAGGTCTATTGTCTCGTTCTTTCTTGTCTTGTCTACATATGCAGACTCTGTTGACATCACGTAAATTGACTCCAATCGTCGTCTGTCCATCGTTAGTTTTTCTGAGATCTTGAGCTCTCGAAACACCTTCACATCTTGTGGCCCAAATAGGACATAGTGGCCTGATGATGTCAATTGAGCCACAGATAGCAAATTTTTCTTCATTCCTGGAACATTGTAGACATCTTTAAGTTCCACCTGGTTAGGATTATACCGAGGTGTAACTATTGTTTTACCGATGTGTGTTATCGGTAACCTTGAGCTGTCAACTTTTACCACCACATGATTTTCCTTGTATTTAGACAGATTTTGCAACTTCTGTCTATCATCCGTCATATGATTTGAGTAGCCCGAGTCTACGAACCAATCATTCTCTTAGTCAATCCTTCCTAGTATTGTTGTCGTAAGGGCTAATTCTTCTTCCTCCATAGCGAATATCGCTTCGACATCCCAATAATTTTCGTTATTCTCCTTAGGACTGGACGTAGCAGTATTACTTTCAACATGCTTTTTCTTGGTCCAACAATCTTTCGCCATGTGATCCATCTTTCCGCAGTTGTAACACTCACCATCAAATTTTCTGCTATTACCACGATTCTTTGAAGCTCCCCCTGGACGAGAGCCTCCTCCCATTTGCTTAGCCATAGCTTCTTGATTAGCCAGCAAATTCTCAAACTCAATAAGAGATGGTTGTGTCGGCCATCCTTGTACAGTAGTAAAGAACCCTCGATATTCAGGTCTCAAACCATGGATAATTATTCTCTTTATCCTGGTTTCCCGAATAGGAGCTGTTGGATCAAATTCTGAAATTTCGCAGCATATTGATTTCACCTTGTGAAAGTATTGGGCAATCATCATGTCACGTTGCGCCATCGATAGCAGCTCGTTCTCAAGAAGTTGCAGTCTTGTATATTCTTCTTTGAAAAGAGTGTAACAAAAGTGTCCCATGCTTTGCTTGCTTTAATTTTCCACTTTCGCAAGATGCCATTGGCATCTTCTGCCACCGGTTGTGTAACTTCATCACCACCGACAACCTCCCAAAGGTCCTGACCTTGTAGGTAAGACTCCATACATGTTGCCCACGTGTTGTAGTTTTTGTTGTTGAGCTTCTTTATTCCTCTAACTACTTGAAGGTCACCCATTGTGCCGGCAGGACTTCGACTATACCGAACAAGCTTGACTAACAAACTTGCAGAGTACCAAGCTCCTCACGACTCAAGATAACTCCATCAAGAATGATCCCTGACCGTCCCGCTCTGATACTAATTGTTGAGTAAAATTTAGAGTACACAACTCTGAACTTACTAATGTTGGACCCAAACAAGTAAACAAATTACTTGTACTATACCCACAATAAAAGATACTACAACACTTTTCAAAAACCACTCACAATTTGAAGAGAAATACAAACACTCCACACTTAAACTAAGAATACAAAGACTTAATTTTTGGAGGATACCTAACCCAAATGCAAGGGAGGGTATTTATAGTTCTCACCATGCAATCTACACCACATAAATATAAAATTAAGAAATAATTCTAACCACACATTATTATCACATTCTACATACTTCTCCTAAAAAATTTATTTTCTATATCCTTCTACAATTTTCTCTAAAAATATTTTTCTTCCACATTTGTTGAGAAGCTTCTATTGTTTTGGACTAAGATAAAATGGATTGGGCTTTTATTTTCCTTGGGTTGAAATCAAAATATTGGTTCTGTAATGGGCTGGAGTTGATCTTCAACATTTTTGTCTTGCATTCTGCTGTGTGTGCGCTACTGAGTTTGGTGTATTTTGCTGATATTTTAGTTATGATCAATGTTTTAAAACCTGGACCGGCTCGACAGGTTGAACCGGGACCCGGCTAGTGAGCAGGGCCGGGTGAGCCTAAAAACCAGCGTTTTTGTTTTGTCCGCTGGTGCCGCGGTTGGACCGGTGTACTATAGCACCCACCAGTCCAACCGTCCATTTTAAAAAATCCAGGTCAACATTTATAATATAAAATAATTAAATTTAATAATAAACACTTAAACAGTAAACCCTAATATCATTTCCTTTCCCTCATTTCCCCCCCATTTTCAAGCATTTCCCACCCATTTTCATCTGTTTCCCACCCTTTGCTTTGAAAGTCTGAACTCTGAAGCTTCACTCTCATTGAACTCTGAAAATTACCGCCAAAGTCTTCCCTTCACCGTCGAAACTCGTCACTGCAGCCTTCACCGTCGAAACTCATCGCTGCAGCCTTCACCGTCAATGGCTTGCTTCGTCGTCAGCTGGGGTACCGCTCATTTCGCAATCTTCTCTGGCATCCACTCTTCATCACCGTCGATCTACGCCGTAATCCATTGTCTTCATTCTTGATTCTTCTCGGAGCTGCACAGTGCACAATCGATCTCGATCTCGGAGCTACACACACTCTTCTTCACATTGTTTGAATCTGACTTAGCTCTTTATAGTTGCCCTGTTCACAGTTGAGCTCCACCTCCCCGATGGGCAACGAACGGCAGCTCATCTTCACCAGTAGGTAACTGTCACGGTGTAGGCATGTCTTTGTTTCAGCCTTCAGGTCTTGTGCATGAGATGTCTTAGTTTGCAATGTAGCAGGCTTCCATGCTTTACAGTTTACAGATTGATGTTTGAACTTTGAACTTTGATTCTTTGAAGGGAGAACTAATGAGTAATGACAAAGTAGCACTCTTCTCTACCAACCTAAAAACTTATAAATTCGTAATTAATTTAGAATGTGCATTGAGATTAAAGATTGATGAAGAAAGAATGTGCATGATCAGGGCATCAGGCCTGAACCGAAATGGGAAGCCTTCGTAGTTTGTGGCTTTGTGGTTTAGTAAACTCTGAAGTCTAAACCGAAATGGGAACACCAAAACATTATATTTAATTTTTGTTTTGTAAAAGTTATTGAATTCATTCAAACCTATAAGATTTAACTTGATTGGTGAACCAGTTCTGAATTGTTGGTAATTTTTATTGTAATACTGTGATTATGTATTATAGAAGTATGCAAAATTTGAGCAGTTTTTGTTTCGGCATTAATTTATTAAAGATCATAAAAGAATCAATGGTTAGTGAAGATCTTCTAAACATTGAGAAAGTGGTCAACAACATGTAAAAGTGAAGGATAATAGTATAATACAATGTAGGCAGAACCTATGCATGTATTGTCCCTTCCACTTTTTTTAGAGATTTAGGAGTTCATTATGGAAATATTTGTTAGAATACATGTAATTCTGTAAAAAATTATGGACAAGTGGTATAAAGTTTTCTAATACACTGTTTTTTCGGATACATGTAATTACTAACTTATTTTTTATTTGTGTTGCCACTTGCTAGGGTAGAGATCAAGATTAAAGACAAAGAATATGTCATCATCTGGGTCTTGTCAACAATCTACTTCCATGGATGTTTCACAAACTTTTCAAGGAAGAAATGATATAGCATGGGCACATGTTCATGAGGGCGTGAATGAAAATGGAAAGAAAATATTAACATGTCTTTACTGTGGTAAGATAATCAGAGGTGGAGGAATCTATCAAGTTAAATTGCATCTAGCGGGTATAAAGGGAGAAGTTGGAAAATGCCCTAAAGTTCCTTTCGATGTTAAATTCAAGATTGGAGAAGCACTAAATGAAATTGGGGCTAAGAATAAACAAAAAGTTGAACTTCATAAGAATGTCAATCCTTATGGAGCCAGTGTACAACAATTTGAGGGTGATATGTTAGATGAAGATCAAGAGTGTGAAGAGGTTTCTCCATGTCCAGCTCCAGCTCCAACTTCAACTGCAAGTAGTAAAAGAAAAAAATCTATTGGGATAGGTGACTATTTTGCTCCAAGGACTAAGGCTGGGTGTCAGCCCTCAATTAGGAGTGTTTTAGCCTGAAAAGAAGCTAAGTGGAGAGTGGACATGGCTATTGCAAGGTTATTTTATGATTCTTGCGTCCCAACTAATGTTATTAATTCAATTTATTTTCAACCTATGGCGGATGCTATAGCTGCAATTGGTCCTGGGTATAAAATCCCAACTTACCATAATTTGCGTGTGAATTTATTGAGAGATGCTAAGAAAGAAGTGCAATTACTTGTTGATAGTTACAAGAAAACTTGGGAGGATGTTAGATGTACTTTAATGGTTGATGGTTGGATAGATAATTCACATAGGTCGCTGATTAATTTTCTAGTGTACTGTCCTAAAGGAGTGTGTTTTGTGAAATCAGTGGATGCTTCAAATGTTGTAAAGGATGCTGCAACATTGTTTGGCTTGTTTGAGGAAATAGTTTTATGGGTTGGACCAAACAATATTGTCCATCTTGTCACTGACAATGGAGCAAACTATAAAACTGCTGGAAGAATGTTGTCTGAAAAATATAGCAGTATTACTTGGTCTCCTTGTGCAGCACATTGCATTAATTTGATGTTGAAAGACATGGCTGAGATGAGTCATATAGTCAACCTTTCGACACATGCATCTGAGGTTACAAAGTTTGTGTATAATCATTCCTTTGTGCTGGCTTTGCTGAGGAAAAAACAGGTTATATACCTTTACTTCATATGTTTATAATTTACATTGTCAAGATATATTATATATGTACACTTTTTAATAATTTACCAAGTACTAACATTTATTGTCTATCACTTGAATAGGGTATGACAGAAATTATAAGCCTAGGTGCAACCTGTTTTGCCACAACTTTCATTGCATTGAGCAGCCTACATCAGCACAAACATGACTTGCAATCTACAGTGACAGATAGAACTTTTGTGGAGTGCCGATATGCAAAAACTAATAAAGGCAAAGCCTTTATTTCCATAGTTCTAGATAACCAGTTCTCGGATGACATTGGTATAGTTTCCAAAGTTGTGAGTCCATTGATGCATATGGTCCGGATTTTAGACTCAGATGAGAGGTCTTCAATAGAATATGTGTATGATGGCATGTACAAAACGAGGATGGGAATCAAGAAGCTGTTTAAGAACAAGAAAATTTTGTACAAGCCTTATACAACAATTATCAAGATGCGTTGGGATAGGATGTTACGCCGTGATCTTCATGCAGCAGCATATTATTTGAATCCTACTTTTAAATATGACGAGGACACTTTTTCCAAAAAACCTGAGGTCATGTATGGTTTTCTTGACACTATTGACAATAAAGCAAGTGCATTCAAAATGAGCAAGACAACGTTACTGGAGGAGAGTAGATTATATCGAGATCGTCTAGAAAGCTTTTCTCGTGAGCTTGTTTTTCAAACATGCAAAACTACACGGCCAGGTATGTAATAGTTATTAACTTTTTAAGTCTAATTTTTAAGTTATGAAATTGTGTTTATTTCTTATGTAATTTATATTTTTATTCTCAATTAGATGAATGGTGGAGGACATTTAGGTTTAGTACTCCAAATTTGCAAAAGTTTGCAATCAAAATTCTAAGTCAAACTTCGGCCTCTTCCGGATGTAAGCAAAATTTGAGTATTTTTGAACGCATACATACTAAAAAGAGGAATAGATTGGAGCATCCACGGTTGAATGATTTGGTTTTTCACTCATTATAACTTGCGTTTGCAAAATAGGTATGAAGTCTTCTTCATTTTATTATTTTTGTTGATGTCTTTATTGGTCATGATTTGAATATTTAATTTTGCTATTTCAGGAGTTGTTACAAGAAAATTACATATGATCCTATTGATTATGAGAGTATTGATAAAACTGAATGGTGGATAGTTGATGAGGAAGAGGAGGTTGGTGAGCTTAATTATGATGAATTGGAACAATCATTATATGGAGAATGAGCTATTCCTGTAGATGGTGGTGAATCTGATGATCACCATTCTTATTATGACTCAACAGATGTTTCAGAAGGTTATTTACAATTTTTTAAACAATTTCAATTTGGTATTAACAAGTTTATATTCAATTAGTTTAAATGGGAAGATTTAACTTATGATTTTTTTTTTTGCTAGAATTTTTTTGTAGATGATGTCGCGATGCTAATAATGATGACGATTATCCATCAGGTGGTGTCTGAATTGTCAATTTTAATTGAGGATGGAGTGATGGATAGATTGATTGAGGACCATTTGGTGAAGATCAATTTTTGTTAGAATGTTGAAATGTTAAGTCGTTGACTTGAAAGTGGAAAACTTGAAACAACTATTATGTTATTTTTCTTCATTCATTTTGTTATTTTGATTTGTATTATTGATATAATGATATTTGATGATGTTTTGCTATGGATTTTTTATTTTGGGGTTTATGATTTGGACTTTAGAGTAAAATTTGGGAAAGAAATGTATTCTGTGAACAGTATTTTGATGACGTAATCATGCTGATATCATCAAATTACTGTTCACCAATTGAACCATCAATCGGTTAAACCGGTCGACCGGGGACCCATTCCTCTTGCCGGGTTTTGTTCCGGGTCAGTTTTTAAAATATTGGTTGTGATTAAGACCTGTAATTGAAAGGCTTTGTACATGTATTAGTTGGATGTTTAAATTTAAATTCAAATATGTAAAATATCCCTGCAAAAGTTGGTGTAACAGTGGATATTTTGGGCTGTTTGGTTGTATAAATTGAAAGCTTAATGAAACATTTTATAACCTTCTCTCAATTTATTTTCTCATTTTTCTTTTCCTTAGCATTCTCCGGCCTAAGACACCAACATTAATTATCAAGTGCTGGCCATGGAGACATGAACGACATTGTTTCAAGGTTTATAAGCTTGATGAAGAGATGTGTGAGTGGGTTGAGGTGGAGGATGGATTGGAGGATAGAGTGTTTTTTCTGGGTGATGATTGTTCCTTCTCTCTTTCGGCTAAAGAGTTCTCCGGATGTAAAGGGAAATCTATTTATTTCAAACATGGTCCCTCCAGAATTGATGGTTTTCTCCCTGGAATAGATGGTGGGATTTTTGACTTGAAGGATCGGACTGTTCGTCACCTCTTTGCTGAATGTTCTAAGATCTTTTGGCCTCCACCAAGTTGGGTGAAGTGATAGTCCAGTTAGGCTCCATGCTGGATGTAAGTGTTTATTTTCTGTGCCTTGTTGATGTGGCCTTATTTGTTTTGTATATATATTCAGGAAGTTAACATATAAAATGTGCTCTGTTTCTAATTTTCTCCACTTGCAGCTAACATAAATTCCAAAATTTGTTATAAATCCCAAGAGCTGATTAAGGCAATTCTTTTTCTAGTATTATATCTTCCTGAGCAGGTTTAGTTACTTTCTTATTGTTTTCATCTTCTCCATTTCATCATAATACCATATTGGCCATTGCTTGGTTGTATGATTGAGACTGCAATAGTGAATTGCTTGGTAATGCTGTACTCATAGAGTTTGAAATTTTTTGATAGTGCTCTTTCTTGATGTAGATTCCTAAGTTTTAAGCAGATGAATGCTTTGAATAGTTAAAATGAAGATTGAACATGCTAGAATCACATATTATTGCTATTGCTTTCAACAGGTTAATGGTAATTCTTGATATGAATGACATTGATCTTGTAAGTTGTAACAAGCATGACTAAAAGCATTCCATTTCTTATGCTTCATAACGGATCTTCTAAGTTTGCCCCAAATTCTAATTTTGGGATGGAGGGAAAATTGGCATACATGAGTTTACTTCAGCTGTCTGATATCATTTCATTCATTTCTCTCTACAAATGATTTTGCTTGACCGACAGGGTTACCTTCTTGAAGAACATTTTTGCATCTTTTTGCATCAGTAAGAAGTGGATATATCTTACTAAAGTTATATTGAGATTGGCTTCCTATATCATGTATTTCTATACAATTTTTTAATGACCATGTTCATAATTTAATGAAATCAAATAGAAGAATTCAAAGTAGTTTTAAGTTCGTTTTTCCAACTTATAAACATAAATGAAGACAACCTCTTCAAATCCTGGTACGAGTGAGATGGATTCTTATCCTACAATAATACTAGTAGCACAAACTCCAGCAACATATATGCTAGTATGTGAAAGGTTAATCTAGTTTCTTCTCAAAAGCCATAAGAGTAGATGCCAAGATTTTGAAGAAAACAAAAATTTATGTCAAATTGGAATCCTGTCAGATACTTGGTTATATAGTTTTATTTCATTTAATTTCTGGTCTGTATAAATTTGCTTGGATCTTTCAGCATAATCGTAGATGTTACAAATATTAATAACCAGCAGGGGAAAATTCAAACTTTGCCTGAAAAATCTTTTTTTCCTAATTGTCGGTTCTCTTCCCTGAGCAGAACAAGTATCAATCAAGGATACAATGACCACAAACACAGGCAAGTTTAGGTTGAAGACAATGATTGATAAACAAGCCAACAAAGTGCTGTTTGGCTCAATCTCCTTTCCTTAAATATTTTTGGAACTGTCATCAGGCTCTTACGCCGTGCAAACATGGTTGGCTGCATAGGATACCTATGGCTATACCCAAGCCTTGAAAACTTGAATGAAGCTTACTTCCAACCCAATCAAAATAAATCTAAGCTCTTGAAACCCCATGGGACAGACTCTACCTCCCTTGCGCCCCAAGCTAGTTCACAACCAAAGAAGAAAACGTGGTAATCTTGTGGTAAAAATCTCAGGTATCTGAGTGATGAATATAACACCGGTTATCCTCAGTGTTGTAATATCATGTATTATGGATGTGGTCTTTTTGAAGAACGATTCAGTTAGTAGGGTAGTATTGTGAATAAATTGTTTACTTATATGGTGACAGATGACTTGTTTGTAACACCTTGGTCAATGATATCTAGCATCGACCTGCTACAGGAGAATGTAAAGGATATCAGTGCCCTGGAGAAAAGAATTGTTGAATTTGGCTGGGAGGAAGTGAGAAATTCTTGTCTTGCTTCTTTCTATTATTTGAATTTTGATTGTATCATGAAATAATTTTTAAACTTTTCAATTAAAAAAGTGTAAGCGATGGCCTAAACTGGGCTGGAGCTAATCATTAAGATAAGTGTTGCATATGGTTACATGAAAAAAGACCATAAATGAACTTTCTTCAGCATTTTAAACCCTTTAATAATTAGGCTGTGCTGCAGTATAGATTAACTGAGGTTTCTTCGTCATCACAGTTTTATTGAATATCAGGTTCTGGAGCTGTTGAAGACTTCTTTGCAGTCAACTGGATGTTGCAGTGACTGATTCAAATGGAATAGTTTGACACAAGGCTCTAGATTATCTTATCCCTCTGTGTTTAAATAAGTAATGTATTTTACTGTTTCTGGATTGCTGCTGGTGTTACAAACAACCCGTTGGATGTGTTAATGATGGGTAATATGCTTGCCTAATCTACATATAATTTACTTCTTGTTAAGATGACAGATTGAATCCTGCACATGCAAGTTAATGATAGATACAAGTCAATTTCTGCTTGCCTCGTTCCCAGATGGAAAGATTATTAAATGTTGTTAACCAAGGTAATTGATTTCAAAACCTAAAAGACGAGTAAAGGAATGTATGGAGAATAGCAGAGAAGAATGATTCTAATCTAAATGTTGTTAACAAAGGTTTACTTGTTGGCGTGCAGCATATTCCATTTTTGATTGGCTATATATAGTTTTATCGTGTCTCCATATTGTCATCTTCCCTATTCACTCTGAAATCAGCCATGGCACACTCCATTTCCAAATCAAATTTGAAACTTATTATTGAAAAGAAGGATAACAAGGTCCTTTTTGCTGAAGCTGGCAAAGATTTCGTAGATTTTCTCTTCTACCTTCTTTCTTTGCCTGTTGGAACCATCATCAAGCTCTTAACAAAGAATAAGATGGTGGGCTTCCAACCTAATCAAAACAAACTTGAGTTATTGAAATCCCAAGAGAAAACTTCTGCCTTGCTGGTGCCCGGAGCTAGTTCACAACCAAAGCAGAAAAAGTTTCACAATTGTGGTCACTATCACCAGTATGTGGCAGATGCGTTGTGGGCAGCTTGTGGAAGATGGATTCAACAGATGACTTGAGTGACACCTGGGTCAATGATCATTAATCTGATACTGGAAAATGTTAAGAATATTGGTGCCCTGGAGAAAAGAGTTGTTGAATTTGGCAGTGATGAGGTAAGGAGTTCATCTCTGGCTTCTTTGTATTGTTTAAATTCTGTTTAGTTTTGAGGAACAACGGTTCAAAGTTCAAACTGATAGTATGTTGATTACTAATATAGTTCTGCAATCAATGAAATAGTAGGTCTGAAGTTTTTTGGTGGGAATATTATAATCCTAATCTGTTTAAACTTAGTTTGGAAATTTATCTTTAGGTTTATAATGATTTTCTTTCCATTTGAGGTCCTGCAGTTGTTGAGGCAGCTCTTAGTAGAACTCAGATGTCACTAATTAAAATTCCTTTGTGGGGAGTAGTGTTACAAGATCGGAGACTAAGTAAGCTTGAATACCCACAAACTCTCAAGGAGAAATAAGAACCCAAAGAACAAAGATGGAGAGAAAAACTCTATTGTATGACTCTCAATTGAATACCACTAGCTAACTTTATATGGGATTTATCCATTAGGATGAATGGCTAGGATTAAGTGACAAGAAATAGAATCCCAATCCTATTATGTTTCCTTTTCTGTGAAAGAATATTCTGGACGATTTTAAAGATATTCTTTGACATATTCTTCGATGCCTCTGGGTCAAGTCTGGGTCAAGCCTTCTAGAATTGAATATTGGGTCTCATATGGACCTGGGCTTAGGTCAGACGTGATAATAGGTATCATTGATGGAGTTTGATTGAAATCTGTAACTTGTCACTAATCTGCAGCATGTTTAACAGAAAATATATTGTCCTGTTTCAGCATTGCAACTATTTGATGAATAAATGATGCAAATTATGTTTGCTTAACACGCCTGTGAATTGAATTATGTGTTTCCTTTACATTTCTGAAGTTTATGGAAGCCTCACTCTGGTACAGAGAACTTAAACTTTACATAAAGGCAATTTCTTCCATAGCCTACAAGCCAAGTAAAGGATTATTCCTAGTGCCTCAAGATTTAATTCATGATAGGCTCTTTTTTAAATTCCCAGTACCAAAATTCGAAATTCCTGAGCAAGGAAAGTTTCTACCATTCACCTGCAACAAATATTTGATTCCTCCTCATCACCATCTGTTCTCATCCTACGCAATGGATCGGCTATAAATAGCTTTGCTATGACTCCATTGAGTCACCTCTTACTAATACACGCTAAAATCAGCCATGGCAACCCCAGTAAAGTCGAAGCTTTTTGTTGACACAAGGGCTGAGAAGGTTATTTTCGCAGAAGCCGGCAAATCAGCCATGGCAACCACAGTAAAGTTGAAGCTTTTTGTTGACACAAGGGCTGAGAAGGTTATTTTCGCAGAAGCCGGCAAAGACTTCATAGATTTTCTTGTCTACTTTCTTTCTTTGCCAGTGGGTACTGTGGCTAGGCTCTTAAAAGGGAAAGGCACGGTGGGTTCCCTAAGTAACCTCTATAAAAGCGTTGAAAATCTCAGTGAATCCTTCTTCAAACCGAACCAAACCAAGAATTCACTACTAAATCCTAGAGCTCCAAGATCTGCAGCCACAGGAGTCCCTCTTTTGCTTTGTGATTATGATTCGCACACTCGAATGGTATACTCTTGCCCCTCTCATTATCATAACATAACTGATGTTCCAAACTTGCTTTGTCCTTCGTGCAACAAGAAAATGACCGGTCCATTGTATTATGTTCCTCCGTCGCTTGAGAACACTGGGCTGGTTGAAGGAGGATTTGTTAAGAGTTTTGTGAGTTTCATGGTGACGGATGATTTGGAGTTTATGCCCATTTCTCCTGAAAATTTATTTTCTTTGCTTAACAAGTCCAACGTTGAGGAAATTGATGCACTTGAAAAGATGGATGTGGAACTGGGGGCGGATGAGGTAAGTCCATCTCTTTTCCCCTTTTGCAATTGTCTATAAATACATATCAATAATTTACATATGACAATTTCACTATCCAGACACCAACGGAATATACGGCGCAGGTTATGCCCTGCGCTGGGTGAGAGTTTTCTTGCGTTCGGGCTACCTTTTTCCGGCGCAGTATATACTAAAACTGGGCATGATGCTAAGTTTCTATCTCCTTTGTTAGGGTCTAAAGCTGCTGAAGTTATCATTGGAATGCGAAAAAGTCTTAACAAGTTTGTATCAGGGCACAGTACAAGAAGCACCGCACCGCAGAGAGACTTTAATGGAGCCGGAAGCATCGCGGCGTTCGTATCACAGCAGAAAGGCTTCAATGGAGCTGCCAGCACCGCAGCATTTGTATCACGGTAGAGAGCCTTTAATGCACTCGATCCCACCTTGTGCACAATTAGAACGTTATTAATGGAGCTGATCCCAGCCTGCCCAGCCTAGTATTGAGAAGCTCGAACTCGACTCGGCTGGAATAGTGTAGTTAGCAGTATTCCAGATTTTAATAAATGTACTGCAGTCGTGCTTTGGTGTGGAAGCAAATAGGTGAATCTTACCATTGTTATTTGGTAGTATTCTGCCAAAGTTATAATATTGATAAATAAAAGTATATTATTGCCTTCTTAAAACATGAATCGTTGCTTATTTGGTGGAAGTGTTTTTATCTTAATTATGTGGAAGTCTATTACTACTAAATGGAATTTATGTAAACTTAATGTGATAAATGTAAGGCAAGATCAACGCATACTTACAATCACATAATTTTTTATTTTTTATTTTTAATGTCAATTTATAATCTTTAGATTAAGCAATTACTAATCAATGTTGGAGATGTTATGACATGACAACCTAGATTTTTAAATATCATTTAATTTTGGGGATATATATATATATATATATAATGCAGACTTTCGATATTTAAAAGATTTGTTAATGGTAATTATTATTTCAAATAAATACTAAAAGATGAAATTTTGATTAACTTACTATTTTTGTATAATATGCCAAAAAAATCATCTTTTAATGTGAATTTGTGCCCGTAAACTAGGATTTTAATATATGTCATATGATGTCAAAATTCAACCTAAACTCTCACAAACAAAATTACAAGAATATGAAATTTGTCTTTTCACACTAACCAGTGTATTTTTTTTTTTAACCCCAAAAAGTTGGCTTGGTGATCAAGATTGTTTGTTCTTTTTACTGACTTACTGGGTTCAAACAATGTGACTTATTTAGAACATTAGACTTGTACGTTGTTTAATAGATCTCACGGATTAGTTGAAGTATGTACAAATTGGTCCGAACATCCAAATTATAAAAAAATAGAAAAAATTAAAAAATTTGTCTTTTCAGTGGAGTTTGACATGAAAACTATAAAATCACTACCCCTTTTGTTAAACAGAACAAGTATATATATGTTTCGTGGTTTCTGCATTGCACCTGATATCACAAACAACCCTTTGATGTATTAAGGAAGGATATTATGCTCACTTAATCTACTGTTAATTTACTTGTTGAAATGATGATAGAATCAATTGACTTCTATATATGCAAGTTCATTAATATGAGCTGGAAGTAAACGAAAGAAATTTTTGATTCCAAGATTTAACTTGGACTTTTCCTGGCGTCATTCCCAGTGTTTAAATATTCTTAAGCAAGGTAATTAATCCCATAGCCAAGCGAAGGAATGAATTATGAATGGGGGGAACAATTCATAGTACTATATATGATTCTAGATGTCCTAATTAAACAAAGAAAAAGTAGTACCAAACTTAAAGAAATTTAAAGAAAGTATGCGATTTTATATTAATAAAAAACATATGGACTATGTCACTTCATATATAAAATATTAATGGCATGCAGGAAGGGGAACCAAACTTTGTGTGTTACAAATCTTTTTTTCCCTATTTGTCCACTGTTTCTCTTCTCTGTGTGGACAATTATCAATCATGGCAACGACCACCACACCCCCAAACAAGTTAACGTTGAAGTAATGATAGACAAAGGAGCTAAGAAAGTCCTCTTTGCAGAAGCCGGAAAAGATTTCGTGGATGTTCTGTTCAATCTCCTCTCTTTGAATATAGGAACTGTCATCAAGCTTCTCCGTGATGCAAACATGGTTGGCTGCATCGGAAACCTGTACCCGAGCCTTGAAAACCTGAATAAAGATTACTTGCAACCTAATCAAAACAAACTTGAGTTATTGAAAACCCTAGAGAAAACCTCTGGCTTGCTGGTGCCCAGAGCTAGTTCACAACAGCAGAAAAAATTTTACAATTGTTTTAGCCGTTGCCAGTATGTGGCAGATGAAACTAGCAAACGTTGTCCTCAATGAGATTCTTCTATGTCTAACGAAGTGGTCAGCTTGTTGAAGATGGATTCAGTTTGTGAGGGTGGTATTGTGAATAAATTGGTTACTTATATGGTGACAGATGACTTGTTAGTGACACTTGGGTCAATGATATCTAGCATTGATCTGATACAGGAACATGTTAAGGATATTGGTGCCCTAGAGAAAAGAGTTGTTGAATTTGGCGCTGATGAGGTAAGGAGTTCATCTCTGGCTTCTTTGTATTATTTAAATTCTGTTTAGTCTTGAGAAACAATGGTTCAAATTGATGGTATGTTGATTAATAATGGTTCTGCAATCAATGAATTAGTAGGTCTGAAGTGTTTTGGTGGAAATATTACGGTCCTAATCTGTTTAAACTTCAGTCCGAAACTATATTTTTAGGATTATAGTGATTTTCTTTCCATTTCAGGTCCTGGAGCTGTTGGGGACTTCCTTGCAATCAGATGCAGCTCTTACTTCTATCTTCCTCTTGAAGAAAGAACTTAAGGACATTGATGTGTCTAATTAAAATACATTCCATGTGGGGAGTAGGAATCATTGATGGAGTTTTATAATTGAAATCTATAACCTGTCACTACTCCGCAGCATGTTTAACAGAAAATGTATTGTCCGGTTTTAGCATTGCAACTATTTGATGAATAAATGATGCAAATTATGCTTGCTTAACACACCTGTGAATTGAATTATGTGTTTTCCTTTACATTTCTGAAGTTTATGGAAAAAATAAATGGAAGTTTGGAGTAGTGTCTTTAAGTTTTAATTAATTGTTACCCTCATTCCAGTACAGAGAAAACTTTCTACATAATGGCAATTTCTTCCATAGCCTACAGGCCATATCAGGGATTATTCTTAGTGCCTCAAGATTTAATTCATGATGAGCTCTTTTGTATATTTCCAGTACCATGATTCGAAATGTCCTGAGCAAGGAAAATTTCCACCGTTGACTTGCAACAAATATTTGGTTCCTCATTACCAACTGTTCTCTTCCTACGCAATGGATCGGCTATTAATAGCTTTGCTATGTGTCCATTGAGTCACCTCTTGCTCATACACGCTAAAATCAGTCATGACAACCACAGTAAAGTTGAAGCATTTAAACAAAAACATGAATCGTTGCTTACAAATAATAAAACTTGATCCCATAGAAACCCACCATCGCAGCCCCCCAATGGAGAATCAAACCTAGGATTGCGGCCTCCCAACGGGGAATCTAACCTAGGACTAGGGCCTCCCAGCAGAGAATCGAATCTAAGATTGTGGGTTGAAGCCATACATAACCTCCTTGGTTCAACCTTACCGCTGGACTTGATATAGGGAAAATTGTGTTAAATTAGGATTTAATTTTGTTTGCATTTCTTTATTTGATTTTCTTTTTTATTCAGGGTTTCATATTTGGAATTCAAGTAGTTTTCCATTTTAATTAGGAGTTTAGTTGATTTAGGAAGTTGTAATTAAGTTAAATTTTACTTTCTTATTTTATAATTAGTCAACCGTTGGGATTTCTTTTTTTAATTAGTTTTCGTGTTTAAGTAGGATTTTATTTTCTTGTTAATTAGAGTATTAGGGTTGCCCGTAACTATCCTATATAAACATATTATTTGTTTCTTTTGAAAATATAGAATATTCAATAAATTATTCAGATTTTACTTTAAATTTTAAGGTTTAAGTTTTTGGATTGAGACTTGTGTTATCATTTCTAAAGGTGTAATTGAGTGCTAGCCTTATTTTATCACGCTAACTCGCTGCATCAGTTGGTATCAGAGCAGAAAAAATTCGAATCTAATGGCAAGTGATGAAGTTGTAGGTGGCGGCAATTCTCATGATGAAGATCAGGGAGTTGAGACCTCGCAAAGGGTGGCGTTGAGGGCTTTGGAGTAACGAATAGATCTCAGATTCTAGCGTTTGGAACGATAGTTTGAAGAAATTGCAAATTGACTTGATGTTATGAGCGTAAATGCCAACAAAAATAGGAATGATGAAAGGCAACGTACCGAGGATGATGTCGCTCACAGACAGCCTATTGGCATGGAAGAGTCAGACGAAAAAGGTGGTTATTATGAAGAACCTGAAAGGAACATGGGGTCTAGCAGAAATCAGTATGGTGACAGTGAATCCAACGAATTCTGATTAAAGGTAGATATCTCTTGCTTTAGAGGAAATTTAGATATTGTGGAATTTTTGGATTGAATAACAGAAGTAGATAGGTTTTTTTAATATATGGAGATCCCAGAGGGGAGAAGGGTGAAACTGGTCATATGTAGGTTGAAGGAAGGCACTTTTGCATGGTGGAAAAGATTACAGGCAAGAAGATTTCGTGAGGGGAAAGCACCAGTTAGAACCTGGTACAGGATGAAGCAGTTGTTACAAAGAAATTTTCTTCCTATTAATTATGAGTAGATCTTGTTCCAACAGTACTAGAGATGCCATTAGGGCTAGAGATCTGTGTAAAAATATATTGCTGAATATCGACAGTTGTTACTCCACCTTGACTATAATGAACATCCATATAAAGTAACTTTAGAATTCTTTAATGGGCTGAAGGCAAACATACGAACTCAAATTGATTTACGACATGATCATACATTGCTTGATGTTCTTCAATTAGCCTTTGATGTAGAATCACAATTAAAAATTTAAAAAAAAAAAAAAAAAAAATCTTCGTCAGAGAATGCATGCCTCACTAGTTATGGAGGAAGACAAGAAGCATCAAGCACTTTCTAAAGAAATTCTTAAAGCCAACGAAGATCGTGAGATGTTACAAATTAAGGATCACACATCAAAGGAGATTGAGCATAAAGTAGACATTGAAGCTGAACGAGTTCTCCAAGAAGAAAAGATTGAACAAGAGCAAAAGCAAACTGTCCTAGGAAGATAAATGACAAAGGATATTTATTTGCTCTAAAAGAGGACTTATTACTCTACTTCGAGTATCACTCACCAGATTGAAACTCAGAGGATGGGTTTATTTTTAAGAGGGGGAGTATGATGTAGGGAAAATAGTGTTTAATTAGGATTTAATTAGGACTTAATTTTGTTTCCTTTTCTTTATTTGATTTTCTTATTTATTTAGGGGAATTCAATTAGTTTTCTATTTTAATTAGGAATTTAGTTGATTTAGGAAGTTTTAATTTAGTTAAATTTTACTTTCTTATTTTACAATTAGTCAACCGTTGGGATTTATTGTTTCAATTAATTTTTGTGTTTAAGTATGATTTTATTCCCTTGTTAATTAAAGTCTTGTTAGGGTTGGTTGTAACCACGCTATATAAACATATTATTATTATTATTATTATTATTATTATTTTGAATATATAGAATATTCAATAAATTATTCAAATTTTACTTCAGATTTTAAAGTTTAAGTTTCTTGATTGAGACTTGTATTATCATTTCTAAAGGTATAGTCGAGTGCTAGTCTTGTTTTATTACGTTAACTCGCTACGTCAGGACTACCCATGGGTTGGTTAAATTTATAATATTGATAAACACTATAAAACAAAAACACCGATGGTTGCTTATTTGGAAGAGTTTTTTTTTTTTTTTTTTTTTTATCTTAATTCTTGAAAAAAAAAAATCTATTTTACTGGCTGTTTATTCGGCTATTGCTTCTAAATGTAATTTATGTAAACTTAATTTGATAAATGTAGGGTAAGATCAATGCATACTTACAATGAAATAATTTTTTTTTAATATCAATTTATAATATTTAGATTAAGCAATTACTAATCAATAGAGGAGATGGTTTGACATGACAACCTATGTTTGTTAAAATTATTTAATTTTGGGGATATTCATACATTTTTAAAATGCAGACTTGAATTTGTGTACAAAAAATTTGATAATGGTAATTATTATTTCAAATAAATACTTAAAGACAAAAATTTAGTTAAATTGATATTTTTGTATAATATACCAAAAAATTATCTTTTGAGGTGGATATGTGCGTAAACTAGAATTTTAAAATATGCCATATGAACTCTCGCAAAAAAAATTAGTAAAATTTTGCATGTTAGAGTTTATAGGAGTGTGAAATTTGTCTTTTAAGTGGTTAAAAAGGCAAAATTCTTCGAGCTTTTACATATAATAAGAGTTTCTTGTCTGCGGGAGTTGATAGGAGTTTGTAGAAGTGACCATGGATAGAGTTTGACATGAAAGCTATAAAATCACTATCCCTTTTGTTTAACAGAACAAGTATATATATGTTTTCCTGGTTTCTGCATTGCACTTGATATTACAAACAACTCTTTGATGTATTAAGGATGGAAATTATGCTTTGCTTAATCTACAGTTAATTTACTTGTTGAAATGATGATAGAATCAACTGACTCCTATATATGCAAGTTAATTAATATGAGCTAGAAGTAAACGAGAGAAATTTTGATGCCAAGATTTGACTTGACTTTTCCTGGCGTTCCCAGTACGAAGAGTTCAAATATTCTAAAGCAAGGTAGACAATCCCATAGCCTACATGCCAAGTAAATGGATTGAATTATGAATGGGGAACAATTCATAGTACTATGATTCTAAAAGTCCTAATTACACAAAGAAAAAGTAGTACTGTGGCCACGGGATTCCCACTTTGGCGTGCAATAAATACAAATATATATTCCTAATTACCAACTCTTCTTCTTCCTATATATATAACTTTAAGAATGTGTCCATGGTTCATGTAGCTACGCACCTTCTTTGCACATTTCAAAGAAACCATGGAAAATGCCACAGAAGCCAAAATAAGTTTGAAGCTTTTTTGGGACACAAATGCTGACAAACTTGTTTTTGCTGAAGCTGGCAAAGATTTTGTAGATTTTCTCTTCCATCTTCTTTCTCTGCCACTTGCGACTGTCACTAGGATTTTAAAAGAAGACATGGTGGGTTCACTGGGAAAACTCTATGAGACAATTGAAAATCTTAGTGAATCCTACTTGCAACCAAACCAAAACAAGAATGCACTGCTAAATCCCCGAGCCCCAATATGTGCCACTGAAATCCCTCTTATGCTTTCTGATTATGAACTGCATAATCGAAAATCATACGTATGTTCTAATTGTAACTCATTTGTGGCTGATGTTCCAAACTTGCTATGTCCTCGGTGCAAGCAAAAAATGTCCTCTGCCGTGTCTTATGTTCCTCCATCACCTGCAAACACAGGATTTCCTGTCGACAGAGGATTTATAAAAGGTTCAGTGAGTTTCATTGTGATGGATAATTTGGAGTTTATGCCCATGTCTACCAAAAATTTGCTTCCTTTGCTCCGAAAGTTTAATCTCAAGGAAAGTCATGAACTTGAAGAGATGGACCTTAAGTTGGACTCGCGTCAGGTAAGTTATCAATTGTTCCCTTCTGTAATTGAATTCATTTACATAATTAGTTCTTTGCCGTGACATATTAGTAACTTATATGATAATTTCTATACCCGGAGATACGAAGGCTAAGAAAAAGCTGCCTTGTATTTGGTGTCTTTTATAGGTTATGCGGCTGCTGAAGTTATCTTTGGAAAGCAAGACAGTTTTTACAAGTTATTACCAGCTCCTTCTTTCAGAAGCATTAAAGAATGCCTGCAACCCAATGTGAATCCTAGAAGGTCAAGTTATGTATTGAAAGTCATGCATTTGTTAGCAATCATATATTAGAAAACTATGGATTAGTATTCTGTGGTAAGCAGCTGGAGCCTGAGCTATGAATTCTTATTTCCTGAAATTGAATGAATCACATTATTGTTGCCTTGGTTACATTCTCCAAAAGTTGTAATGTTGATAAATAAATTGCATCTCATTAATGCAAACAGAACCACCTTATAATAGCATTAAATAAATATGAATTTATAATGAATTTATTATAAATTCATATTTATTATAAAAGGATGAGTTTATTATAAAAAATAAGTTGGATTTTATAGCACATTAGGTAATATTTTTTTAATTATATCAAATTAGTCATGTTTTATTATGTGGACTAACTAATTTTTTTTCATAGAAATTTAAAAATTCATTTATTTACGAATAGAGTAGAACAACTTTAATACTATTCCGATGTCATTCTTGATGCTTTATTTCTGACTTTCAGCTGCTTATAAGGATTAACATTATTATGTGATATGCAACCGCAGCCTGAGCTATGAGTTCTCATGTCCTCAAATTGTATGAATCATGTATTATCGTTGCCTCGGTTGCATTCTACTAAAGTTGTGATGTTGGTAAATAAAGTACCATATTTATACTTAGCATTTCATATATATAATATGAAAAGAGTGACTATACATGTACAGATTTTGTATATAATCTCTTTTCTTAATCATTTTAAGAGGTATAATAAGCTGAATATTTAGAGCCTATTTGACCGAACTTATGAAAATTAGCTTATAAGCAGATAGTGCTTATAAGGTAATTTGAACTTATAAGCATTTAAAATTTAAGCAGTTGTGTATACTTATAAGTGACTAATAAGTAGTTGACGCATTTAGTAAAATGTGGTTTATAAGTACATTTTATTATTAAAATGACTAAAAAGAATACTACATTATTTTATCAAATAATAAATAAGGTTATATGATGGAATTTTAAAATTAATTAGGGAAAATGTAGTAATATAGTTGGTCAAAGTAGCTTATAATTAAGCAAAGTGTTTATAAGCTAAAAAAAAATAAAAAAAAGTAGGTTCCCTTGACTTATTTTTTTCTCTTATAAGCCCCAAAAAGTTATAAACAAACAGGTCAGCTTGATTTTAGAGCCTATAAGCTAGTTTGATAGTACACTCCCTTAGTGTACTAGAGTTTTTGAAAGAGAAAAGAGAATCATATTTTAATATCTAATAGTGATTCTAAATTTATATTTTTAACTTGATTAGTTAGATCACATATGTATTGTATTTGTTGGCAACTATGTATCCACCCAGAAGTCAAAATAAATAGACGTAAGAAGAGTACTGAAAGTAGGGGTAGGCAAAATTTTAGGGTAGAACCAGAACCGACAGGTACCCGGATTTCGATTATGGTTCCTATCCGGAACCGACCGTAATAGGGTAGGTTTCGGTTCCAAAAAATTGGAATCGATCAACACTATATAGTTTTGGTTCCAAATCAAAGGAATCGAAATTGGAACCGGGAATTGGGACTTAATTGATATAACAATAAAATATGGGGGTTTTTTATATTTTGCATGTCCTATATAAGAAAATTTAGGATTTGGGAGAAAAAAATTCGACAATCTCCACTGCAAATTTTGGGGATGAAACTTGATATGTTATCATGTTGTTGCACTTGTGTTATTTAAAATGTTATGTAATTTTAATTTTGGAAGGATGAAAATTGATATGTTATTAACTTATTATGTGATGTTATTGTGTTATGTAATTTTAATTTTAGGAGGTTGAAATGGATATTGGAATAGTTGTAATTTTTGTAAAGTTTGCAGGGTGTTTTTGTCATTTTACAAAACTGATAGGGGTGTATATAATTTTATTAGGGTTTATTTGCTATTTTTTAAAAATTAAGGGAGTAATTATATTTGCCTAGGTACCCGGAATTAGAACTTGAACCTGTGTTACAGGTTTCGGTTCCAGGTTTTTAGGAACTGGAACCGTTGGTTCCGATTCTGGTTCCAAATCATAGGAATTAACCAGCTTCAGTTCCGATTCTGGTTCCTTCAAAAAAGGGTGGGGAGACACTTTAATCTCAAAACGACTTTAAATTTATTCTATTGCTTCATTTTCTAGGCAATGACAATTAGTTTACTGTGATTCATCAAATGATGCGCTGTTATTCAACTTTCGATCTTTCAATTACTGCTATCTTTAATGTTGAAAACTGTGATTGGCATGCAACAAATCTTCATTCCAATTGCCAAACTGTTTACTTTTATGGAGTAAAGATTTATCTGTTGTGCTTCCTATAAATATAGTTGTAGAATTACTTGTATTTATTTATGTAAGTGACCAAGAGAAAGTTCAACGAAAAAGTAGAGGTATGTGTACAAAACTTCTTATAAATATTTCATTTATTACAAATACTATTGTGTATGAACCTATATTATAATGTCATTATTTTACTTTTGGATTGATGTTTTATTTTTATCTTTCAATAGGATATCAGTAATGGCAGCCACCAAGATTAGGTTGAAGTTAATTGTTGGTTTTGAGATGAAGAATACTAAGGAAATGAGGAAACTAAAACATAAAGAGAGAGAGTTGTGTGAACCACTTTTTCATTAAAATAAACTGAATTNGACACTTTAATCTCAAAACGACTTTAAATTTATTCTATTGCTTCATTTTCTAGGCAATGACAATTAGTTTACTGTGATTCATCAAATGATGCGCTGTTTTTCAACTTTCAATCTTTCCATTACCGCTATCTTTAATGTTGAAAACTACGATTGGCATGCAACAAATCTTCATTCCAATTGCCAAACTGTTTATCTTTTTATGGAGTAAAGATTTATTTGTTGTGCTTCCTATAAATATAGTTGTAGAATTACTTGTATTTATTTATGTAAGTGACCAAGAGAAAGTTCAACCAAAAAGTAGAGGTATGTGTACAAAACTTCTCATAAATATTTCGTTTATTACAAATACTATTGTGTATGAACCTATATTATAATGTCATTATTTTACTTTTGGATTGATGTTTTATTTTTATCTTTCAATAGGATATCAGTAATGGCAGCCACCAAGATTAGGTTGAAGTTAATTGTTGGTTTTGAGCTGAAGAATACTAAGGAAATGAGGAAACTAAAACATAAAGAGAGAGAGTTGTGTGAACCACTTTTTCATTAAAATAAACTGAATTATACAAAGTCTTTTTGTGCACTTAGCACCTAATCTGCAGTAAAAACTTTATAAGCAAATTACACCAACCACACATCATTAACAACTACAATTATATCACATTACAAAGGGATTTAACCACAAGCTGATTTAAAGCTGAAATTACCAAAAACTATCACATTAGAATATCAAAAAAGTCCCCATCTGAACTGCTTCTAGGTTAACTTACAGCACTTTGTCGCCAAACTTGCAGCTTCTACTAGCAACCATTTATGCTTATTTCCAGCAAAATATCATCAAATTCAACACTCCTTCTTGATATTTCTGCTGGAAACTCCAAGTCTGAACCTTAATTCTTCAAACTTGGATTTGTTCAAGGCTTTTGTCATGATGTCCAACAACTTGATCTTCTCCTTTGCAATGAACCAAATTGACCTCCATGTTTTGCTCAACTTCGCTCACAGCATGGAACTTGATTTTAATATGCTTTGCTCAACCATGAAGGATTAGATCTTAGTTATTGCAACTGTTGATAGATTGTCACAATAGATTACAGTAGGATCGGTTTGGTTCACCTTCAAATCACTTAGAATTTTCCTTAACTAGATGGTTTGGTTCATAGCAGCAGCAACAAAGATGTACTATGCTTCAGCCATAGGTTGAGCTACCATCTCTTTTTTCTTGGACCACCAATTGAATGCTCCAGAATTCAAGAAGAATATATACTTTGAGGTGCTCCTCATATCATCAATCGAACCAACCCAATCATCGTCTAAGTAACCTATTAAACTAAACTTTTCAGATCTTCTAAACCAGATTCCAAGTTCTATAGTGCCTTTAACATACCTCAGCACTCTTTTTGCAGCCTTGAAATGAATTTCACTTGGTTTACTGTTGAACCTAGATAACAGGTTGGTGGTGTACATGAGATCAAGTCTGGTTGCTATTAGATACAGTAAGCAACCTATCAAGCTTCTATACACACCTTCATCTATCTTCTTTGCACCATCTTCTTTGCTTAGCTTTTGGCTTGGGACCAATGGGGTATCCACTGGTTTACAGTTGCCCATGCTGAATTTCTTCAACACTTCATTTGCATACTTCTTTTGGCATAAAAATATATCCCTTGGACCTTGGTATATTTCCATACCAAGGAAATAACTCATTTATCCTAAGTCCGTCATGTCAACCTCTATTTGCATTGCTTTTTTTAATCCCATCAGTTGGTTAGGATTGTTTCCAGTGACCAACAGGTCATCAGCTTAAAGGGAAACAATCATAATCTCACCATTTTGCTCTCTCATGTTGAGAGTATGCTTATTTGGTCTTCTAAGTTCTAACATACCCAGGTTGCATAAGTGGTCATTAATCCTGCTATGCCAGGCTCTAATTAAGAGCTTGTTTTAAGCCATACAAAGCCTTTTTCAGTAGATAAACTTTTCCTTCTTTTCCCTTGACCTCATCTCCTTCAGGCTGCTCAATGTATATCTTCTCATCTAGCCATCCATTTAGCAAGACAGATTTCACATCAAGCTAGAAAATTTTCCACTTAAACTAAGCTGCTAATGGAAGGAGTAACCTAATGGTGTCATGTCTAGCCACTGATGCAAAAGTATACGAAAAATCCACCCCATATTGTTGAGCCAAGCCTTTAACAACAAGTCTGGCTTTATGCTTTTTCATAGACCCATTAGGATTCAATTTTCTTTTGAATATCTACTTCACTTGTATCACCTTCCTATTTACATGCCTGTCAACCAACTCCCAAGTGTCATTTTTCTCAATCATGAGCAGCTCCTCCTTCATTATAGCTTTCTAGGCCTTTGATTTTGCAGCCTGAGAGTAACATGTAGGTTTTATTTCAGCCACATTACACCTTTCATAAATTTCAGACAAGGGTTTGGTAACTCTAACTGGTGTTTCATCTACTGCATTAGAATTCCTCTCATTGTTCTGATTTCCAGAAGTTCTAACTTGTTGGAAGCTTAATTCCACCTCAACCTGTTTAGTCTCCCAAATCCATACAGCCAGCTCATCAACTCTAACATCCTTGCTGATTATTATCTTATTGTTGTTTGGATTGTAAATTTTGTAGGCTTTGGATTGATTTCTATAACCAATCAAGATGTCTACTTCAGCCTTTTCATCCAACTTGCTTCCCTTGTTGGTTGGAACATAAGAATAGCATACGTTACCAAACACCTTCAAGTGAGTAAGTTTTGTGATGAGCACTGAACTACTCTGAGGCCAACTTATTGCACTTTGAACCACAACTTTGCCACCAAACTTGCAACTTCTACTAGCAACCATTTACGCTTATTTCTAGCAAAATATCATCACATTCAACATTAATAATAGATAAAAGTGCCAACAAAGTCATCTTTGCCGAAGTTGAAACAGACTTTGTGGAGGTACTTTTCAAGCTACTTGCTTTGCCGATTGGCACTGGCATAAAGGTGATGAGCACTGAAATCACATATTGCTACTTAGGAAACCTATGCAAGAGCTTTGAAAATCTTGTACAACTCAGGGTCAGCCCAAGCACTAGGCAGGTGCTTAGGGCCCCTAAAAATAGGATGAAAAAATGCCCAAATTTTTTATAATTTTTTTAATATATTATAAAAATTAAAATAGGGTATAATTTCTTATCTAGGCCGGCCCAAGGGGCCCCAAAAAAAATCCAAAAATGCCCAAATTTGTTATAAACTTTTTACATATATTTCCACCCAAAGTTTGACGAAATAGCAAGTTTGTACCTCTAGCTTTTTATATTCCATATTTACACTCCTAAATTAACACATTGAGTTTCTTTTAACAAAAAAAGGCTAAAATGGTCATTTACATGTCTCAAATTTCTCACCGCCAATTTCAATCCCAAAATTTGACATTCACATAAATCATCTCCACCCCTCTTCCTTCACCAACCATTTGAAGCTGATTCTAGTCAATTATGGTTGATCTTCTCACCAAAATCGATCGAAATCATCCCTTTATCATTTCCCACGTTTTTCCCTAACCTTGATAGCCCTCGATTTGGCCAATTTTTGACGAATCTCGCAACCTAGCTCCACCACTTGCGATAGCCATTTCCGGCCTTTTTGGGATGTACTCGGCGTCATTGGCCTTCCCCGACACCACCATCTTCCTCCCCTCAGCCCTCTCACCAAAACCCGTATCATACCTCATATGTTTACTCTACCAATCGGCGACCACTGATACCTTTTGGGCCGTGACTTCTCAAGCCTTTTCCGGTCAATCCTGGCATTGGAAATCACCCATTTCACCACCCATTGCTTCTCCAGCATCTGCTCGCCAAAATCCTTCACCAACCTGGCCCTATTACCCCTCCAATCATCGTCCACCTCTTTTTAGGGTTTCGTTTTTTTCATGAAAATTGGGTTTTAGTTGTTGATGATTTGGGTTGTGCATTTTATGGTGATCTTTTTGGTTGATTGGAGTTGTTTGTTTTTTATTTTTGGAGTTAATTGATTGATCAATTTTCAGTGTGTTTAGGTTTTGCCTATGGTGGTGGTTTGGCTAGCTGGTGTTGGGAAAAAAGAAGGGTCGCCTGTGGTGTGGTGGTTTGGAATGGGCTATGGTGGCAAGAAGGTGGTGTCGGTAGGTGGGAGGCAACCGATAGTGAAGACTAAAGAAAAAGAAGGGAGATGAAGATTGAAGAAGAAGAAGAAGGTCCAAGGGTAATTTGGTAAAAGAACTCTCTGCCCCTGTGTCACAACCCATCCATCCATTTAAGGGTGTGAATATATAATTTATGAAACCAAGGGTACCAACCTATGATTTCACTAAACCTTGGGTGGGTATATGTTGTTTACTCTATGATTTCCCATCAATCCATTCCTCTGCCTATCTCTCTCAAGACTCAATCTTTCCATTGAAACCTGAAAAACATACAAATTGTCAGCTCTGTTTTTCGTTGAAACACATTACTGGCTGAATTCTCTTAAATGTCAAATCACAGTCTCCTCTCTCTCCCAAATGACAATCTCTTATATCACCTATCCCTCATTTTACCCAAAAAATTCAGTTTTCTTAATTCGTACTCTTAACTTTCTCATCTCATTTTACTCTCAACTTTCTCATCTCTAAAGATGAAAATTTCTTCCCATTTGTTTCTGCTTTCTGGTAAGTTGTTGCTTGTGTGTGCAAGCTTTGATTTTTTATTTTTTTTATTTTTGGGTTTAGCAAGTGATATATATTTGGTCATGTGTGATTTGCATTATTATTTTTATGCAGGGTAATAATATAAGATTTTAGAGTATCAGCAATCAGCAGAAAGCAAAATCAAAAGAGCATCAATTAGGTACTAAAGTTCATTGCAGTTTTTATAATTATTTTTATTTTAGAAAAATAATGTTAAGGGCTCTAAATTATTTATTCTTTGAATAGAAATGTCTACTAGAAAGTATGAATCCATATTTGAAAAAGGTAAGAAAAAAAAAAGGATAGAAGAACTAATTGAGGTGCATTTGATAGATTTGTTATTAATACAAAACACCAAATGCTAGAAAAACCAAATGAAAATAACAATTCAAATTCATCAAATACTAGTGAAGAATATCATGAAAATTTAAAAGAAGATATTCCATTCAATAAGAATGAAAATATTGATGATAAAGATGAAACAACTATTAAAAATATTTATGATCCGGCACAGTGGAATAATTTAGACACAAGCTTATGTGATTTATTAGTTGAGAAAGGTCCAATTAGACAAGTTTTAGATTTTCCAAGAGATGAAATTCTAAATGCTTTTCTACAATTCATTACATTCGAAAATTACCAAATAGAGAAAAACATGATAGAAAATGGCTAGTATATTCAAAAGAACTAGATAAAGTATTTTTGTTTTTGTTGTAAATTTTAGTTTAAAATCAAATACAATTCAATAGCAAGTGAACGGTGTGGGGATTGGAAAAATCTTAGTGCCAAACTTAAAAGTCACAAAACAAGCAATGAACATGCTATAAATATGAACATTTGGGTTGATGTTGAGATGAGATTGCTTAAAAACAAAACAATTGATAAATATATATTTACAAGAGAAAATAAATAAAGAGAAAAGCATTGGAAGAATGTACTAGTAAGAATTAAAGCGGTCGTAAAAAAAAAAACTTTCAAAAAATAATTTGGCATTTCATGGTACAAATGAGAAGATTTATCAAGAAAATAATGGAAATTTTTTGAGTTTAATTGAAATGATTATTGAGTTTGATCCAATAATGCAAGAACGTACACCTTAGACGTATTCAAAATGGAGAAATTCATACTCATTATCTTGGTTATAATATACAAAATGAGTTGATAACTATTTTAGCATTAGAAATAAGAAATACCATTATTAAAAAAATCAAATAATCAAAATATTTTTCAGTCATATTTATTGTGCCCCAAATACAAGTCATGAAGAACAAATGTTACTTATATTAAGATGTGTAGATATTTCAATAAGTCCAATAAAACTAGAAGAGTACTTTATAAATTTTATAAAAGTGGACGATACTTATGGTCAAGGTCTTTTTAATGTACTCACAAGTATACTAAAAAATCTTGAACTTGATATAAATAATGTGAGAGGACAAGGATATGATAATGGGTCTAATATGAAAGGTAAACATCAAGGTGTGCAAAAAAAATTATTAGATATTAATTCTAGACCATTTTGTACACCATGTGGTTGTCACGGTCTTAATTTAGTTCTTTGTGATATGGCTAATTCATGTGCTAATGCTATTACATTTTTTGGAGTGACACAGAGCATATACTCATTATTTTCTTCTTCTACAAAACAATGGAAACTTTTGCAAGATCATGTTTCTAATTTGACACTTAAGCCATTATCACAAACACGTTGGGAAAGTCGTGTTGAAAGTATTAACGCAATAAAATCTCAAGCTCCACAAATAAGATATGTTTTATATCAATTAGTAGAAACTAGTGAAGATCCTAAAACAAAAAGTGAAGCTATTCCTTTAGTAACATATGAGATTGAAAAAAATGAATTTCTATTAGGCATGATTATTTGTTATGAAATGTTATTTGCTGTTAATACGGTTAATAAATATTTTGCAATCTAAAAATATGGATATTGTTGTTACAATAGATCAGTTGAAATGCCTTATTTCATTTTTTTGAAAAATTTAGAGAA